CCACTCTCTGAGGGTGAAACCAAAACACATAAAACCAACTTCGACCACAAAGACTGGAATATATAAGTGACCGGAGTATGTCGGATGAAATCTTGTCCCCTCATTTACTATACCATGGAATTCATAATCAGGAATTAGGTGCACCCGATTTATAACTCCAAGAAGCTGCAGATGCAACTATTCCACAGATCATAGAGTCAGAATTAGTTCGCTGTGAAATGAAATCGATCGGATATCCCACAGTTTTGAAAAAGCGCCTCTTTCAGCTCAACCGTCTTCAGACCATTCTCACTGCAGCAAGCTGAGTAGCTAGAACTAAATTCATCCTTATCCGGGCACATGAGCTGATCATACTCTAACTACTAACTAACTAACTAACTAACTGTTTCAAAGTTGTATAGACTAAAAGTTCAAATTGTGCCGTCCTCCACTTGAAAACTTATAGATGGTCACTCAGCTAGACAGCGCCAATTCAATCTATCGCGATCCAAATCACCGCTGTGTACTGATGAAAATGTTTTTCTTGTACTCGCGACTTTAGCGTTACTAAACCAAAGCGAAGTCTGATTGGGATTGTCAACGCACACTGGATAAGGTGAAATTACGGCAAGAACACAGGGGCACCGTTGACTTCACTGATTTCAAACGAATACATCCAAGCAAATAAATATTACACATTCAACTTAACTAATAGTCAAGTCTGAAACAGCCAGTCGTTTTCAAGAAAGCCCACACATTCAATTTACCTTGTTATATTGCATATGCAGCGGATCGACATATTGCCTGCAGTTACACTGTTGTAATTGACTGTCTGAAACATGGGTCGCGGTTTGTTTTCGATTTCATGAGGTCAAACTACCTGATCACCACAGTTGTCCTAAAATAAATCCATCGATAGACCTACAATGTTCATCTGTTTTGGGTCATTTTCGTAGCTGCTTACAGTATCAACAGTACTGTTGACCGACAAGGTAGCAATGGATTGAAAAAGTTTCATTATTTTTGCATTGAGTAGGATGAAAACTGTGGAATTTCATGAGTGGCATAACCTATGTACCACAAAGTTCTCGAAGCGTCAAATATATTTTTCCGCTAGGACCTTACGATACCATTTCCTTTCAATAAAGCACAATTTTTAGGAGCTTCGTTTATAGATTCCCACTTAGTCTATTAGTCAGGTACTCCAAAATGACAATACATATGTGAATCAAAGTAATCGAAAAAATAAGACGTATTGCAGCAGTTGTGTTGCGGGTGTGTATAGTGACAGTCGGGAAATGATTGGTGCCGTTGTAAATGGAATTATCACACCAAGCGTTGTCTTATCTGAGAAGGTAATGAGTAGTTTATAAATGACTGGACAAAATTTCCCAGAAGCACACGACCAGTTTCGCAGTCCTTCTTGCTCATCAGATGTGCGTACCCAGTAATCGTTTACCAGGTCCTTCTTATACTTGAACTCTTGATGTGAATTAGGCAACACAAATCCCATTTTCAGCTTAGAGAGTTGAGTTGGAGACAAATAAACTTCAAATAATTATGGCGATGATTCTACGTTGAGTGTTTTGGGTTAGATGCATCCAGTCAACTCGACACCAGGGGTCGATTTTCAGTGTTTTATTGTTGTTTAATTCGGAAACTAAAGTCTTCAGCCATCCTTTCTGCTGGTCAAAAATTACACAACTATTGTAGCAATAAATTCAGCCAAAAATGCAATGTTCCGCATGGATACATCTGTAGTAATCGGAATAGATAGTAATCACAAGTCACATATGCAGATCGAACACGGAATCGTACCAGAACTTGTTAGTCGGAACTTCCAGTGGCCAAAATGTACAACAAAGGCCTCAGAAGTAGCAATTTTTTATTATTAGAAACCAAAGGGATTATGTGATATGCAAAAAGAAATATCCTTGGTTTCACGGGCATCAGCCAGTCACCGATTTTGTTTTGTTCCCAGGGTCACACGGTTTCTGTTTGAACTGCACGGCCCATTCTTGATAGATACTGTTGAACTGAGGCCCGCTGTCCAGAAATTTAAACATGTAGTCCATTGGACTGGCGCTTTTGCGGATGGTTTAATCCATTGGTTAGTCTGCTCATTGCTTCCTACACTATTGCACCCATTCACTTCGTTCAATCAGTCGTGGAATTTTGTCGACAGTGAGGACATATTCAACATCAAATAATGATAGCACTATTTGGGTCGACGAATCAAATAGATCGATAGATATATCATATTGACATTGGTGGATAAAAACATATCCTGATAAGCGGATAAGGCATTGGTCGAAAGATTAAAGTCATATTGACAGCGACTTGAATGTTAAGTGTTCAAACCCTGTCACTGCCACCCATATTTCCCTTTTTGTATCGTCCCCAGACAGAGTTTGACGCACTACACTCCCCTTCCTGAAATAGGTCTTCGAGGTTTCATAGTTAACGAAATCAGAAAAAGTTAAAAGAAAGCGATCAACGCAATAAAATGAACACGATTAGATAATCCAAAATACATATATGCTTTCGGTGATTTCATCCTCAATTTAGCGCAAGCATTCATAGCCAATAAAAGTTTGTAATAACCGACAAAGAGCACTGGATAGCTGTTTCTTCCTGTTTAAGACTATACAGGAGTGCATACATTTTGTGTCCCATCGAAACTCGAACCGCGATCATTCAATAGTGCCTGGTACTAGTGAACAATCGAACGGACTATTCCATGTTTTCTACTCTGAGTGCAAGCATATTTATTTATCTCATGTGAGTAATGGAGGATTTGATACAATTTCAAAGTGAATTCGTCGTGTATGTAGCAAATGAAGCGTAAAATGAAAAGCTAGGAAGCACTGGACAGCTATTTTGACCTCGTTGGATCTCATCAGCAGTGAGCGAATCCATTGATCCAACAGGGAATCGAATGCAACATGAAAATGTTCTGGTCCACAACCCCGTTACCTGGTGAGTAGCATGCTTGCGCTCTGCCTGTGAGGTCCCCGTTTCGACCCCCAGTTGGATCGATGGATTCACACTGTGCTGATTAGACCCGAACAAGTTGAAATAGCTATCCAGTTCTTTTTAGTTTTTCAATTCGTGAGCTCCGTTTGGTATGCATACGATGAAATTCACCAAATACTGGATAGAAATCCTCTATCACAATAATGTAAATAAATTCCTGTTAAATTTGAATCACAAAACTTTACGGTGGACAACGTCAAACAACCAAATTCTTACATCGCCATGATAATGAATTCGCATTCGTTAAATCAGCTGACTATCAAAATGAGCCATCAAAATCGTACAATCACATTACTACTGAATTATTCGATCAAATGAATGCAGGAGCAACTGATTAGGTTCGACTTGTTAAGGATCACAGTTAGCGGAAGAACACTGGTTGTCGTTTGCTTAAAAACTGATCTTTCGGCAAATGTCACTTCTAAGTACTTCTCGTTAA